ATAAAATATATTCTGAATTTCAGAGATTTAGTACCAAAAAATTGTCTCATTAATAATTTTTATATTGGTTACATGTTTAAATGATAACATTTTGGATACATTTGGTTAATGAATATATTAGTACAATTAATTTCATCTGTTTGTTTTTTATTTTTAAATGTAGCTACTAGAAATTTTGAATTATACAAGTGGCTTACATAATATTTCTGTTGTGCAGCACTTCTATAGAAAATATTAAAAGGTCATATGTATGATAAATATGTATAGACTATTCTGCTATACTCTTGCATAGATTCAAGTTTGTATTCCATTTTATTGCAATAATAAATCAACTTAAGGATAAGTTATGATTTATGATTTGAGAAACTATTTAACTTATTAAGGACAGAGGAAGGTTAACTTAAACCAGGCTGTTGATAGCAAGTATTTTTGTGAATTCACTTGAATAATTCTTGTAAATCTGATTACATAAAAACCACTGAATGCCACTTTACATATTTTAAAATACTATTTAAAATACTATCACATATACTCTCACATGTAATTCTCAAAACAACCCAGTTGATAACATTGTCTTAGAAATGACTCCTGACTTTTTTTCATGCTCGAAATAGCTGTAAGAGGTAGCCTACTCTCCTGAAAGCAGTGTCTTACTGTGGCAATGAATCTATAAAAGAACCTGAGGCCTGAAAAGGCCTCCAAGGGTGAAAATCTTTGGTTTCAATGTTTTCTTTTTAAAGACAGCGTTCTTGCTCTGTTGCTCAGGCTAGAGTGCAGTGGTGTGATCATAACTCACTGCAGCCTTCAACTCCTGGGCTCAAGGGATCTCCCTGCCTCAGCTTCCCGAGTAGCTAGGACTACAGGTGCATAATACCACGCCCAGCTTATTTTTTAATTTGTTGTGGAGATGGGGGTCCCTCTATGTTGCCCAGGCTGGTCTCAAACTCCTGGCCTCAAGTAATCCTCCCTCCTTGGCCTCCCAAAGTGTTGGGATTACAGGATGAGCCATTGCACCCAGCTACTTTCAACGTTTTTCTAAAAATTTTCTTCTGTGACAGTTTTGGAGGTCTCTCTGAGAGTTCCATGTGGATTAACCTTATGAAGACAAATGAACTGTGTAGCTTAAGTAGTATATCTTATGGGCCACTTAGACATAGGTACATCTTTTCTTGGATTCTGGGGTGAATCTTAAGCAGCAAACAGAACTTTAACTTTATTGACACTCTTTTCTCTAAGTTTGTAATTTTACTCCCACTACTGATTTATTTTTGTTTGTTTGGCTCATGCACACCAATAAATCATTTCCCACTGGTGGCAGTAATGATTAGAAATTTGGTTTTGTCTTTATGATCTGATCATTTGGTGATCAGAGAATCTAATTTATTAGGCCTTTTGTTTTCTTGTATGCTTGCCTATTTGAGAACTCAAATCAATTAAGAACATATTTTATGTCCACTGTAAAGAAAAGCAACTCTTTGTGATCTTGCTGGGTAAATTTTTTTGTTCTGTGTTTACTTTTGATCTGTGGCTGAAACTGCAAGAGAGAGGCTGTACACTCTCTATGTGACTTGTGTGTCTGTAATTCAGAAAGCCTTTACCTCTTGTGTGAGTGTGAAGTATTTTTCTACCTCTGGAGGGTACTAATCATTACCACCCATAAACTGAAGGTGCTCTGCTCTGATTGGTTTATAGTGATAAATAGGCACTGATATAAATTTAATGTTTTTTAAATTAACA